AATAAAACAAAAAATAATTGAGGGAAAGCACCGAGCGAAAACATTTTGTGGCTTTTGGAACAATATAATATAACCCCGTCGCATATTAACCATAATAAATTATCACCCAATTATATATATATATGTAGGGAAATTTTCAATGATTATGATGATATGCTAACGTCTTCCAAGCAGTGAATGATTTAAGAGGACGAACAACCAACGGGTAGCTTTCCAAGAGCCCACATAACCCCACCAAGCACAACTAATGGAACAACATAAATTTACTTCCCTAGCCTTATTTATAAGCATAGGAAACAAAAAAAAAAAACCTTAATCTCAATACCTCAGTAACTTTCTAATTTTAGCACTGTTATGCGTAAAACTCAGAAGCAGATATTTTTGACAAAGAGTAAATGAAAAAGGAAAGGGACAAAACAGTAGCTGGAGGAAGGCAGCTAGGAAGGATCACAGAGAACAGGAGCTTTTACTGAATCCAACATGTAATTAAAAACTTTTGAAGAAAGCGAAGTGCTCCCTAACGTCAATAAAGCATATGTGCACAGATAAATGTATCCAGAAGGGTCACAGCTATATTTGATCCATCGGCTTAAAATTTGCACCCAATGCGTGTTCCATATGGGGCCACCTTCCTTCCTCAGGAGAAAAAGCGGAAAAATCCGCGACTCTCCCACGCTTTATACTCTCTATCTCCATATCTCCCTCCCTGATCACTACTACTACTCTCTAATTCCCTATCATCAAACTTATTTATACATATACATACAAATATATATATATATTAGTTGTCCATTTCCAGATTTTCTTTGTGAACGTGTCCTTCTCTACTGTGTATATACACTATGGATAGCAACCCTCCTCCTGCGAGCTTGCCTCAACAAGAACAATCTTCTGCTTCTTCTCCTTCTGCTTTGCAAGTGCCTTCGTCTCACGAGTCGTCTTCGTCTCCGAGGACGCTGAGATCACCGGGTGGATCGTCGTCGGGTCAGCACACCAGCAGGAGGCACGCCACGTTCCGGGGAATCCGGAGCCGAAGTGGAAAATGGGTGTCCGAGATACGGGAGCCTCGTAAAACCACGCGCATTTGGCTGGGCACGTATCCGACTCCGGAGATGGCTGCCGCCGCGTATGATGTGCCGCACTTGCATTGAAAGGCCCTGACACCACCCTCAACTTCCCCAATTTGATTCTCTCCTACCCGATCCCGGCGTCATTGTCTGCGACGGATATTCGGGCGGCAGCGTCGGCAGCTGCAGAGGCCAGGCTGGTCAGGTCTGCGGAAACCGCCGGACAAAGCGCTGGAGGAGGAGGAGGAGGAGGAGGAGGCCAAGCCGAGGGCGGGGAACAGGCCCGGCGGAGAAGTGATGGAGAAAAACGAGGAATTTATCGATGAGGACGAGCTATTGAATATGCCTAGTTTGCTGGATGATATGGCGAGGGAATGCAGGTGAGTCCGCCGAGGATGAAGTCACCGTACGCTTCCGATGATTCGCCGAGGAATTCAGATCATGGAGATAGCCTCTGGAGTTTTTGAACCCATTTGGGGGCTTCAGACAATCAACTAAAGATTCTTGATTACATATATATATATAACTTGCTATGAGTAATATTTTGTTGTATTTTGGCTGATTTTCGCCCGCGTGTTCTTCATCATTTTTTTCCACTGCACAGATCGTTGCCTGGCTGGCTGTGTATAAACAAGTTTCTAAGCCTTAGGGTCTCTTTCATTTCTGTGCTGTTCTGAGAAAGACACCGATTCTATGCAACGATTATCATTTGTCTGATATGGATCTACAAGTTCGGTGCTTATTTTTCATCCCTTGGGATCTAATCAATTAATAGTACTATGATCTAGACAGTTTCTGCTTTCAATTTGTTTGCGAGTCTGTACTACGTATATATGATTCTATGCATCAGTTTTGCCCCCAGGAGCTTGAGATTATACTGCTGGCCATGGAGTGTTCAAGGTTTCTACCTGTAAAGGGATTGATCAAGAAGATTTAGGCAGTATGTATCTGAAAATTAAACAAGTAGCTAGCTAAGACCTTGGGTTCTTTGTAGGGTGCTATATATTATATGTTGATGGAATAATAATGGCCTCTTTTTCTGCTTTGGATGCTACCTATCTGCTTAATTCTATGATTCTGGGTTCCATTCAGCCCTGCCAGAATTAATTATCACTGAGATATCTGATGTGTGTGCAGTAAGATCGATGAGAAGGAGACAAAGCCAGGGTTCAAAGTTCAAACCCTCCAGGAGAAGAAGACAAACAAAAACCACTCTTCTTCTTCTTCTTCTTTCCATTTTCTTTTTCCATCTTCAACGGGAAATTAGCTAGGAAGGATAAAGTTTCTGTTAGAACAGAAAAGAAAAAAGAAGAAGCAAGAATTGATGAGATATGTAATAAATGCAGCGATGCAGATCGAACACACACGGCAGGATTGGAATCTAACAGGGTCAGGTGAGCATCTGGGGAGGGTCCGTATTGCTTTTTAATTGGCCGACTCGTGTCGTCGAACTAAGCCGACAAGAAGCAAAGTTTGTGCCGGCCGTTATGGCAGAATGTTCAACCAACCTGCCTTTTTCAATACGCTATTGCGTTTCCATTGCAATTTGCAAATTTTGAGATTTCTTCTTTGACAATGATGATGAGGAAGCATAATTTATACATATATATGATCGATGATCAGATATTACTTAGCTGCAATAACCAATATTCTCTCAACCTGGAAAATGACAAGATCATATATGTATATATTGATCAATCTCTTGACCTTACCATCTCATATATATAGTACTTAACAAATACATATAATAGCATTAGATTAAGAAGTGCTGTGTATATATGGATCATTTTCTTCGGTAACAGAGAATGATGACAGTACAGATAACGAGCTCAGCCCGCCATTATCATTCAAGGCAAGAGTACTTACTGATTTTCTTATCTGTCCTTCTGCTTAAATACTTATACTGGTTAATTGACCCCATGTTGTGTATATTTTAACACTCTTATCTCAGGGATATAACGAATCTCAGGACGGGATTTGCTGAGGGATTGATCGGCTTAAAGATCATATGTACTTGACACACATGAATCTGCAGACAGTGAGTGGTAGATGAGACTTTTTTGTCTCTATATATAATTTGATTAGTTCCCCCTCTTTTTCTCCCTACTTGAGAAGCAATTAAGAGTACTTGTGTAACCCTGGATGTGAATTACTTGAAGGTGTCAAGGGATTTACTATGAATGGCATAAATTAATGACTCCAACGATCCTACTAACATATATTCTTATTGGCCATTTGATCAAAATTGTTTTTACAAAACGAATACATCTTTTCTTTTAACTTGTTTAAGCTCATCTCTGAACTTTCCAGCGAGAACCTAGACAATGAAATGAGTCGATCTTTTATTAAAAAAATCTTCACACACACACACACACACATAGTAGGAAGTATATATGTAACATTCTGGATGATTAGCACTCCTATCAATCTTGTAATATAAAATGAATAATGTAACCATTTAAACTTTTCTTGACTAATCAATTATGTTCGGATGATCTATAACTACTGCTTTTTTTTTTTTTAAAAAAGAAATCAAATAACAAACTAATATTCTTCTAGTTTTATTTATAGGGCAGAAAGAGAAAAGATTTTTAGCCCTATTTATGGGATAGAGAGAGAAACTTTTGACATGAATGTATAATTTAATCTTTTATTTATTATTGTACTAACTTTGTTCTCACAATATATAATATATATTAAATAGAGATAAGATTAAAAGTCATTGAATTTTAAATAAGAGTTGAAATTTAAAATTTTTCTTGATTTGTGTGAAACATATTGGAAGTGACTTATAAATAGAACCAGAGAAATATATGACACTAAAATGTCAAAGCAATACTTCCAATTTTACACAGGGAAGAATAATATTGCTGGGTATCTAATTTTTTCTTTTGCCACCTGTTGCGTATCAAATATAACTAAACAACATTACAAGATCTAAAAATGAAGTTCACAAAATATCTTCTTTTCACTTGATCCCTTCAAATTAACAAATTTATAATAACCTTACTCATAGTTGATGTCATTTGAAGAGGAATGTGTTCTACCTTCTCTGTCTAATTTGGATGTGTTTACTCATAGAATGTGATGATGGTTCTTTAATCTAAGATCTGGTCTAAACAAATCGCGTCAATTTGTTGCTGATGACAACTAATCAAAGGTTCATTAAAAACAAGTACAAAGGAAGAATTTTAATAGGTCCAGGATTAATCCAAAGCTAATAACGCTTCATATAATTAGTGTTATGGATCTCAGTTGATTAGCATACTGAGGAATTTTCGTTGTTGAACTTATATTTCATGTTCGGATTGTTATTGTTAATTGGGGTCTTTGATGGAACAAAGTGATCAGCGTTTTGACTATCACAACATATAGCTTTGCTTACTAATTAATTTGATATCTAACAAGTTCATCAAGAAAAATGAAGCTTAATTACGTTAATATAAAAGCCTTGTTGCAGGAAATTTTATGGAGAATTTAAACTCGCCGGTATTCGATTAATGTCTTGATGGATTCACACAATATAATCCCAAAAATTGTAATGAAGAAATTAACTAGTGATACGCAATTTTTTTATATACACGCCTAATAAAGAGAATAATTCCGGATTTTCATATCCAATTAAACCTTCAATATATATATTCTCTGGTACATTAAAAATTGAAAAGCTAGCGCAGAGAATTTTGAAAAAAAACCCTAGAATCGTCAGGTGCATAGTTTTTGAAGCAAAGTCCATTGTTTTATAAACAAATATTTCTAAGCATATTCAATCATACATTAATTGGTCTACGTTCGTACCTCCTCGATATTCTTGAAATGTCGACTTCGGTCAATAGTCAAAAAACACTAAAAGTCAAATCTTTAAAGATTCACTTTTGAGATCGACCAACAGTTCATTATTATTGTTCTAATTCTAATCAGTTGAGAGATGGGTAGCCGGGGAAGGCCGACATTTCTCTCACAAACTGTTCAAAATAATCAATAAAATCAAAGAGATTCTGGATCATTATCCATCATCAAATGCAAACTTCAATTTTCCTTGTACAGCAATCCAGTATATTATTGGGGCTAAGTGGGGTATTAATCTCATATCAATATTCACACATTATAACTGAGAATTAAAAAAAACAAGCCCAAAAAAAGGTAGGAAAGAAAAGGGAACATAATTTTTACATAAAGGTAATGATAAGACTAGATGAAAGAAAAGGGTGGGCCAGAAGTCATATAATAATTAAAGAAACGAAAAGAGGGCATAGGAGAAAGAGGGCTATGTTGGATTTTATGCGCCGATTTGGTTCAGTTCACCTGGCAGATTTAGGCATTAATTAAAACACTGTTTATTTGCAGACAACTATTCCAAAAGCGGCTACCCAATTAACAAACGCAGATTAATAATCAATTATTCTGACCCCTCGATATCTGAGGCCTATCTTCTTCGTCATCATCTTCTGCGGGATGTTTTAATCCCGGCCCAAAACTAGCGAGCACGAGAAGGGAAAAAATAGAAAGAATTAAATCCATGTTCACACAGGAATTTTTATTTTTATTTGAAATTGATTGATATGTGAGGTCAGGTATCGCCGTCGATAACAAAAATTTTGACTTGGACACGTTCCGTTTCCCTGAGACTGTGCGGTCACCTCAATGCAATTGGGACTTTGCTGTATTGACATCTTATTAATCAGGTTTTGGCCTCCAAAGGATATTAATCGGAGTCAATATCTTGATGATAAAAAAATGAAAATACATATATAATTGAAAAATATACTTTATGTTATGCAGATCAAGAATTGTGGGTGAACGTCCTTCCCTCATTTACCACTCTACTTTTATTCAAGTACTAATTCTCAATGCTCTCTCATTCCATTATTTTTGTAACTAGCTCCCCCATTCATATCTGCGGATTTTATTATTCACTACACATCATTTAACTTAGACCTTTAGCATGTAAGATCATGTTCATAAATATAAAATTTTATTTGTATTGAGATGTATAGTAATAGAATAAAGTTACTTTATAATACGTTATAAACACAAGCATCTACCGAAATAACACAGAGAATGTATCTTAGGGCTTACTCTTATTTGTCCTTTTATAAGAGCCTGATAACTAAATTACGTTGTCTAACAAAATAATTAAAATTAGTTGAAACTAGTAAGTATGTAAGAAATAAACTTTCTTTTCCAAACATGCCCTTATTTATAAGGGGCAAGTAAGAGAAAGAAAGTATGGAAGAGAA